AATAATATATAATATAAATTAGATAATAATATAAATATTAAGTTGTACAATTAATAAATATTTTTCTTCAAATGATAAGGTTAGTATTATCCATATAAAATTAACAATTTTCTCTCCTCTTTCTTTTTTTCTTTTTTGTTCAGCCAAATATAATTAAAAAATTATATCTCTTTACTTTTCTCTTCTTTCTACTTTTTTCCTCTTTATTTTTCTTGTAAACCAAGCACCATATAAGGTTTAAAAAAAGTGGTTATCCTTAACTATTCTTCTAGTCATATTTATAGGGTAAATAGAATAATTGTTCTAATTCTATTTATAGGATACTTTAATAATTATTGTATCCATATTTACCTTTTGGACCTCATCAAATGCTAGGAATGCCATTAAATATTAGAATATTTTGTTCATGATTGGTTCAAGGGGAGGGGTGATTTTAAGGGAGGAGGAGGAGAGGGTTTTAATAGAGGGGAGAGGTAATACCTTATTTGGTTTAGGAGGGGAGAGAGAATATATATATATATATATATATAAACAATTTACCCTTATTTTAGTAAAATTGTTTTTCCTTATAAAATATAGCTATTATTGTTTTTAATATATAATTATAAGTATATAATTAGCCATAGTTCATACACATACATATATTGCCAATAATAGGTTTAATAATAATTTATTCATGGTTTATAAAAAGAAAAGCATGAGCAAGAAGTAAGTTTATTAACATATAATAGAAAAATAGCAAAAATAAAATGAAAGGAGGGAGCATTAGTAAATAAAATTTAATCTCCAACACGAACAATAATCTAAATGGAAGGACCAATAATGGCAGTACAAGGTGAGATGAGCAAAGAGGATGGGATATTTTTGAATAATCAAATCATAGTAGGGGTATAATATTCCTAACATGATAAAATTATACCCTTCCCCTCCCAATTCCTCCATTTTGGAGGGGAGTAGAAATTTTTAGAATCTAAACAAGGGAAGGGGAGCAAAATCCCTCCCCTCCTCCTAAACCAAACACACTTTAAGAGGAGGTGAATTAGGCTGGTTAAAATTTTGACAAATGATGCTTAAATTAAATGAGATAAAAGTAGGAATGATACCATCAACTATACTCAAAGTGAGAGTGACAGAAGCGTGCACGAGTATTTACCTAAATTTAGCTCCAACCATTTGAGTTTATGTTCAATCCTCAAGTTTCATTAGAGATTTTCTTTACTAAGTCCACCAAGATTAATTCAAGCCCTTTGTTCCCTCGGTACAATCCTAGATTATAAGTTTGAATCACTTCTCTTTATAAAGGTAATGATTGACCACGCTTAAGTTCTTCAAGCTTAAGTCTTCTATTCTTAGGTATGAAAAACAAGGATAAATAAAAAAAGTTTACAAAGTAAACTATTATATAGAGAAAGTTTACAAAGTGAACTATTATAGTGAAAACTCTTTTAAAGAGTAGATATACAATCAGTGAAATGAAAATTCAATAAATGAAAGAATAGAAGGTTGGTAAGAATATGAATGCATTAGCTCGTGTAATAACTCTTCCACGTTCATCTTTATAAATGAGTTTATTTATAGTTGAAGAGGTTAAAAAATCTTTAGACTCATTTAGCTAGCCGTTAAAGTGTCGAGCATCTCTCCTTTGAGCTTCTCCAAAAGGTGTTGCATAGTTCTTTTCAACATAGTTTCTAGCTTACGATAAGAAATGTAATAAATTGCTAAAGACATTTAATACTTTGACAAAAAGTAGGTGAGAAGAATACGGGTAGAGCAAATACGATATAGATAGTAGAAAATAGCTTAAGATCAATATGAATTTAAATTTACCTAAAGAAGCATTTAAAATGATTCTAGGTTGAAAAGGAACAAACACAACACGTAATAGTGGATAGAAAGGATTAAAACAAAGACACGAAGCTTTGAGGAAAAAAAATGAGAATTAGAGCCTCATAAGATAGTCTCCATACCGGTAGTGAATGCCCAATACTGCAAGTGTCTTTGTAAATCTTGTAGAAAGCAAGATGAATCAATATGGGTAGTAAAGTTTAAATACAGGTAGAGTCACCTTGGTACCGACAATGTTGAAACACTATGAGTAGTGTCTAGAAGTTCTAAATAAGGAGCACCAGGGGAAGTATTTGGACAATAAGGGTAGTGACACTATAGTATCGGTAGTGTTAAATAAATGAAGAATAATTGACTCTAAGAAGAATATCAATAGAATGGGTTTAATACTCCGAACGATTTTGGATCAAATGAGTTAAATACTAGTAGAGATACTTTATTATCCAAAGTAATAACATAAAGAAAGATTTAAGCCTTTACAATGACATAGGTATTGTCAAAAACACTACCCATCGAGACAACATAGAAACAATGGCTTAAAATACAAAGTATATCAGTATCGATAGTATCAAAACAATACCAACAGTGATATTAAGAAAAATTTAAAAATCAGAGATTAAAGCTTAATAGTATGTTTATACCTCCAATTCCCTTTATTTAAATAATTATATACCTGTTAAGTAAAATATTTTTTTGATTTATTATCATTGAAACCGGGGTTCAACATATTTTACTTTCAAAATATTTATATTAAATAGGGGTAAAATTGAAAATTTGTTGAAATTTTAGACAAAGTTAATGAGGTTTTTTTTTTTATTCTAGCAAAAAGTATTTAGAAGTGGCTTATAAATAAGATGAGAAAGCATGCCACAATGCCCCTAATTTAATGTTTAAACTTCTATATCTTATCTTTAGTCATTTTAAAATACAACTACTACTCCCTATTTTTGGACCAAAAAAAAAAGTACTACTCCTAGTTCAATAAAAGGCAAAAATTGAAATAATGTGATCAATGCACCCAACATAAATTCTTTGTCTCTTTTAATTTGGACCAAAAGTCTTCCCAAATTTCCTTATACTCAAGATCGGAGGGGTACAGTTTTAATTCAATTGTTAAGTTAAAAAATATCTATCTAACTAGCAAGTATTGAATATGTCTGGGTAAAAAGAACCATCACCTTTTAAGCATGAAACTTTAAATTTGTGTGAATTTTTCATAGACCACAACCCTAAAATATGAACTTAAAGGATTTTGCAAGATTCCTTTGAAACACTTCGAAGTCATTGAGATTGAGAGAATAACGTGCACTTCAAGAAATAAAAAGTAAATTATAAAAAAATTTTCTTTAATTTTATGAAAATTTCATAGGTCTCTTCATAGATCTATCGGAAGTATATAAATTTTTTCTTTTACTTTGAAGGTCAATATGAACAATTTTATTCTAAAATTTTACAACTATTTCTTTTGTAAAGAAACAAATTTCTTTCAAAACAGATGATGGGTAAATCTCCTTTCAATTATATATATACCATATATAAAGCATTGGAAACAGCATTGTTATAAGTTGTGAAAAACATAACTTTTTTTAAGCATAAGAAGCGAGCTTTGCTTGATGCAAAGAATATCTTCCTCAAAATATTAAGAATAAAAAAATAGACTTCTTCTAACTAAATTATGACATAGATAAAAATTGAGATTTGAACTCTCAATGGCTTATTTAAGTGATTAGAATCCTTATTACTTATGTCAACTTTAATTTGTTAAATAAGATGTCTTATTCTAAATTGCATACACTATCTTTCTTTGTTCTCCTTTGTTGTTTGCTTGTTTGCTCTTGTTTTTTTTTGGGTGCTTGGGGTTATTTGTGTAAGGTGGGTTGATATCCAAACATAATTATCCTGGTTCACAAAATATAGATATTCACTGGAGACACCACAAAGTGGGCATGTGAGGGAGAAGTTGACGTGCACATAGGTCGTACCAAAAACCGCGTAACACACAAGATCTGCCAGTTACGTAATAGCTTGTGGGCTGTGGTGCTGCCAATTCAATTTTGTCACTCACGTCTTTTGCTTTCCTCTTTCCACTTGCTTCCGGCTTCAATTATGGCCATGAAGGCGTGAACTCTCTACTCCGTGTGGTCCCCCACTTTTCATTTATTTATATTTTTTTATAGGCATTTATTTATCTTTTTATTAGGCCCTCGCCCTTCTAATTGCAACTACAAGCCACCAATCATGCTCCAGTATCTTATTAAAAAAAATCTCACTCGAAACTCTTATCCTCCCTAACTCTCCCTTTTACATCCATTCATTTTGGAACTCAATTGCTTCCCTGTTCATATGATCCCACTCATCAATCATCACCATTCCTCCTCTGTGCACGTGAATGCACTTCTCAAGAATTAGGCATCAAAGTCTACTAAATTTGAGCATTGTCAGATTTAATTAAGTTCATCTCTTCCATTTATTTTTTTTGTATTTCAAGACTATAAACATCATTTATTTTATAAGACTTTTATGTGACTAATAATAATACTAACCTGTTTGAGAACTAATATCCTTCAGGATTTCATTCAACAACATCATCTTTTAGCAATTAAAACTCCACGAGAGTAGTCTTTTTTATGACACTAACAATGAAATATTTTAGAATATAATCAAGCACTCTAAACAATCATAGCTCATTCCATTAATATCAACCTCTGTTAACACACTGTAAATATATTTTTTGGTCGAGAGAATTCAAGACTTCAATTTGGGTCTCAATAATATACTGAAATTAGGACAAGTTTTGCGATTTGAAATATCAACCAAATTTTTGGAGGATATTAGTAAAGTTGTGGTGGTCAGCTTTACCTACACCCAATGCTTTTCCTGGGGGTCTTAGGGAATGAGGGTATCTCCCCTTTTTTTCTCCCTTTTCTTTCACTTTTTTCATCTCTGTCATTCAAATTTTTTTATTAAATAATTTTTTTAAATAAAAAAATTAATAAATGATGAGGATAAAGGAAATGGAGGAAAATAAAAGAAAAAAAAATGGAAAGACCCCACCTTCGGGTCTTAAGAGGGGTAGAGGAGAGGACTATTTATTTTGATTGTTTACGTGTCCGATATTTATTGTTTACCAGTTCCCCCCTTGAATTCTTTAAATCCCAATTTGCTCCTTGCCTGACACGGCCTTTAACTTCCCAAAACGCGTTATAGGAAGAAGACGCGTGAAGTGAGGGTGAAGGCTATTGCTCTGTCTCTCTGTTCCCTTCCCTTCCAATGGACGACGAAACGCGTCGGATCTTCAACAAGTTCGACATTAACGGCGACGGTAAGATCTCCAGCTCTGAGCTCAAGAAGATGCTGCATACACTCGACTCCAAAACGACGTCGAAAGAGATCAAGCGCATCATGGCCGAGCTCGACAAGAACGGCGACGGCTACATTGATCTCAACGAGTTCGCCGACTTCCATCGTTCTGGAGGAGAAAAGCTCGCCGACTCGAGGGAGCTCCGTGACGCCTTTGATCTGTACGACTTGGACAAGAACGGACTGATCTCGGTCTCTGAGTTGCATGCGGTGCTGCGCAAGTTAGGGGAGAAGAGATCCTTGAGCGACTGCCGGAAAATTATCAGTTCCGTCGACACCGACGGCGATGGCAACGTCAATTTCGAGGAGTTCAAGAGGATGATGACTCGCGCCTAGAACCAAATATACCTCGAATTGAACGGTAGGTGAATATGCTTGAAGGATGATTGTGGAGACTGTCTGCAGTATTTACATGCAATCATGCAATATTATGGATTGTATTCTCTGCAATCGTTTCGTGTGTTAGATTAATGTTCTACTATTAGCGAATGATCAATTAATTGTATGCAAAACTTTCTTTAACGTCACTGATCATATGCAATATCTCGTCGTCTTGTATAATTTTATATCTTCCATTGCTGTTAACCATTTTCGTATTTCCTCAGAAGTCTGAAGTCACTACGCTACGAGATTGGATTAATAAAACACATAAGATATACCAACAAAATCATGCGGTACTGATTTTTTTTTTTTTTGGGATCATAAATCAGTTTAATTGAATTTTAAACTTTGGAGTAAGAATTAATTATTTTAGAAATTATGAATGACGATGCTATTTTTTTTGTTTTAATACTAAAAGAATGAAATAAATATTTTTCTAAACAACGCAAGAACAACACAAGTTAAAATCTATTGAGCTAGCTAGTAAGAAAGATTTGAGATTTTACACGGACTCTATCCAATAAAAAATAGTATTCAATAAAAACAACTATAAATATTTATTAATAATCCGCCTATGTGTGTTTATTCACAATTAGTATCGTGTAAGACCTGTTTTTAAAAAAATTAAAAAAGTTTAGTGTAAGACCAAATGCAAGAAATTTGTGGTGCAGTCACAAGCCATAACCGCAACGAACATCAAAAGAGTCTTCATTAATTCAGGGGGAAAGCGAACTGTAATTATGAACAAAAATAAAACAATTGAATGATTGACACGAGCTTTCACGAAGAACAGGGAGAAATAGCATCCTAGTATGGTCAAAGAATTCTCAAACCCTGGAGTCCCCAGTGATTTCCAAGTCACCAAACACGGGCACAATTGAAAGTGCCCCATCATATGATTTCTATGGACCATTCATTCTCATCAACTAACCTATGAAATTAGTAATATTTTGACCAGAACGCTATATCAGTCAGTGTGCTTTAGGCTCCTATAATGCTCTTAATCATGCAGTACTGACTAAGTCTCAACTCGTGTCCATGTGTTCCTCATCTTGAATTTGGCCTTAAACTAGTAGTCTCACTATCTTTCTCATTTTTCGAAGCGGCGGTTTCTTCAGTAGCCTGAGTGATAACTTCAGTTTCCGGCCTGCCCGGCAATGTTTTCTTTACCAGCCCTACTATTTCTTCAATCTCTTCATCTGGGAAACGATCCGTGCACTTCTCTATAATCTGTGTGATAAAAGGAAACAGATTGATTACAACGAAACAAAAGCTACGGATATTATCCCATTTTGGAGTTCATAAAGAATTCAGAATTGCTTAAATAGTCTTCAGAAGGTGATGATTTATCTTGATTGATGTGAGGATCCAGGAGCAAGAACAAGATTCGAAGTATAGAATTATTCAATTATCGTCAATCATAGAATGCCACAGTAATTTTTAATATAATAAATAATTCATGCACAAGTGTTTTTGTTATAAACAGTAGATAACACGTCAGTCCTACCAAGTCATTAACTGTTCAGAATGGCCCTAACTTACATATCCCGTTTGGTTGTTCCCTCTCTCATACAAAAATATGATAACGCATTATCTATTAAATTCATTCATATAATCTCATTCCTAATACTACCTCCGGGCCTATTTATAAGAAAAACACATGATAGTTATAATTAAACTATGATAATGTGTTTATTATAAATAGACCCAGAGGTATTGATTAAATTTTTTTTTATTGCTCTTATGTAGGAACACAAAGGACGTCTCTTATTCACAACTAAAGATTTTCATTCTATTCTAATTCTTGACGCGTCTTTAGCTATGTTCGGTTTCCCATTCGCCAGACCCAAACTCACATTAGAACCAAATCAATCATAAACTTGTTTGTTTGATTTCCCTAAACCCACGTTCAAGGAAAAGCAAATCTACTAAACTCAGATTTGAGCAAAAGCAACCATGATCCTTCTTCTTTGTTCTGCAGTTGAGTCAAGCCGCTATTTTACAAATTCTAATCCAAGCACACACTTTGAGGTTTGAACTTTGAACCCTCTTTGTCGTTGATAAAACCTGGGATCTATGCAAAAACCATGAGATTGGCAACAGAAGCTAGAGAACAATGTGGAAACCAGCAAAAAGTGTTCGTTCTTATATATAATTAGAAACCTCATACGACAATAAATTACAATTCACAATATATGGTTTAAGAAAACGGTATCTTGGACTTGCAAATCGAAGGACCAGAAATGGGCAACAGGATTGACTATAGAACAAAATACAACCACATCAACTAATTCTGCTGCCAACTAATTGATTCAAAGAGCAATTAGTTTCTATTTCTACCAATAACCTCAAGTTCAACTAACAAAAATTGGCACCTTTATATCGCCACAAGCAAATGAGTAATAACAGTGATAAGTCGAATTCCAACAAATTTAGCCAACTTACCAAGGTGATGGAACAAAAACTGAAGCATTCAACGGTTTTATTGTACCTTAGGTCATCTTTAGTCATTCTTAGATTATGCTTACTAGTCTTTGCTTTCAATGTCATGAATTTAATTCTCCTCTTTAAAAACAAAATAAAAGCCAATGTCTAAGCTTCCAACTGAGACAACATCTCAGAACTTCCCGAAAGATGATTCATCAATTGATGAAGAAAGCTAAGTGGTAACAAAGTCTCAGAAACAGCACTGATTATAAATTTAAGACATTGGATGTTGATCTGAAGACAAGTAATTACCCTTTGCTTGTTAAACTTGCAGGCATGATGGTCCAAACTTGTTGATCCTCCTCCAAATGTTTCTTACTGATTTCCAGTTTGATATGATTTAGAGACAAGTAGCTTTTTTTTTTTTTTTTTAATATTTTGCGGTTATAAAAATGCAAGCACTATATGATAATCTATGCTAATCAGCCTAATAAATGTGTTGCATATACCTTTAAACCCTGTACTTCAAAGCTAAAGCCAGTAAACAACTTAACCCTCTGCATCCACTAAGTAGACAATTTTACAGCCTTAGGTTCAAACCAATACCATAAAAATGGTGTGAACAGTCAAAAAATTTGCAGAGCCGAGATAACTTGGAAAATTGATGTCAAAGTAAACCTAGTACTTACAGGAAAAACCTCAACGGCAGCAGTTGGCCTAATGTTTTATATATTTAGAACCTCAGCCTTTGCAAGGTCACGCCTTCTGCATTTTTCCAAGAACTCATTGACATTCTCTCTAGTTTGATCACAAGCAGCAGTATCGACCAGATAATCATAGATCTGTTAGATCAGCATAACAGTCATCAAACTTAAGGGTCTGCAAGTATCATTAAAAGAAAATATGAATAGAGATTTCTCTTCAACCTTCTACTCAGAGTGCTACTTCAGCAAGAACCCTTGTTGGATCTTTTGATGCTCCTTTAGCTCGTAAAAAGTCACGGACCTCAAAATTTGTAAGAGCACCAGCATTGGCCTCTAGACTGCGACAAATAATTAAACTGTTTTATCTCAAGCTGAGAAAAATTCAAAAAAAAAAAAAAACTGATAAGAAGGTAGATTAATAGGAAGAACATACATTTTCATCTGCAAGTAATTGGATATAGAGAGGAACGTGGAAGCAAGTGCAGGAAGAAAGCCTCTCCACCAACAATAAAGGCTCTACACAATTTCCTGTACTTGGGAGTCAAGATTGGGGAAATTGGACTGTGAATTCTACAATGTAATGTGATGGTGCAGAAGATGATGGCAGCAGGAAAGTGTAGCTACACCAACTGATCTCCTTCACGCACTGAAATTATATCTCTGCAATCTTTTAGGCTGCATGATTAAGATTTAAACCAGCAATTAGCACGTTCGAAAGAATTAGAAAAAAAAATGCTGCATTGAGTTGGAAAAAGGCTTTTCTAGTCTATTTGCCTCTTCATGAGAACTGATCATGGGTACGGCTCGTTTAAAAACAGGCTTGGCCAATGAAAACAAAAGGCCTGGTCCACCAAATGAAGCAGCAATATACTAATTACTATATTTTATTTTTCAATTCGTGATTCAAGTAGCATCAAATATCAAACATGATAATATTCATACCCAATAATATCACATAATGATTGATAAAATTATGCATTAATGAGTTACTATCCTTAAACCCAGCATAAATTTGAACTCCATAAACATTTTCATAAGCACAAATGTATACTGCATAAACAAAAACAATATTCCCTTGTAAAAGGGTATATGACTCAAACAACATGATCCTACCATTGACCAGGACTCTTTTCACCAGCATATCTGTATGAAACCAGCTAAGGATGCTTTGGAGATAAGGGGCACAAACACACCATGCATGCAAGCATGCGTGCTCATGCACACATGCATAGGCGGACCTATACTACCGAAATCTTTGAAATATGCATAGTTGATATAATGTCCTTTTATTTTTTGTTCCAGATACTTTGACACGAGTCGAGCCAAGTCATTCACAAGATCATACATCGCAAGTACGAGAATTTCCAAATTTGATGATAATATAAAGAGATTAATAAACAGAAACAAAACACAACAAATCCAACATTGAAAAGAAAAAATCTAAATCATACAAGTCGCTAGTAATCAAAATGAAAAGGGAAGAAGTATAATAGGCAATTACACACCATTCAAGCGAAACTAGTTCAAAAAAATAAACTCAATATGTAAATATTCCCAAATCCAAAGGTGTCAGTACTCAACGATTACACGACCGGATTCAAAGCCAAATTAACATGAAAGGTTTAAAACAAAGCAAGAACAGCGGGAACAGATGACTCTGGGAAAAATTCAAATCTAGATTCAAAACACCAGATAGAACAAATCAATCTCACCGGATTTTGGGAGTAGAAAAGGCCCTAGAGTTCGAACCTTCTTCACTGCTTGCCCGAGAACAACCTCGCAGGGCTGACAAAGGTGGACGGCGTCCGACGGAGCATGGGATGCTTGTTCGTCGACTAAGAGAACTGGATCCGCTAGTCATGAACAAGGGCTTTATCGGGTTTATAATTAATTGGCATTTTTGGAAGAATTTGGTACGGGCCAAAAATTAATTACTCTAAATAATAAAATTTATTTTTATAAATTTATACCCAACTCTCCTGTCTTAAATAATCAAGATATTAAAAATCAGATCAATTATTACATAAGCTAAAGTTAAAGGTCAGGGGT